AAACATTTATCTAGCAACATTTTGGCTGAAATGCTTCTTCAGGCACTGTAAATCTATTTCTAAATTAAACAAGATAGAGAAAACAAACAAAAAATGATATAAGTGTAGTACTCTATGTTTCACAAGTTGATTGTAGAATGCTGATACTATTGATGTTATGTCATCTACTCTGAGGGATCATATTAGGATAAATTCAATATGTGGGGAAACTGAAGATCTCATTCATTATATCACACATTCCCGTTTCTGAGACGACCACATAAAGTATCTTCCTGGGCTTCTCCAGAGTGGTTTTTTTGTTGTTGTTTTTTTCTTATTTGAAGTGTTTAATTGATTGTTTGCTGCTACAAAGTTTAGAGGTAAGTTTTCTGGCCCTCAACTTCAGAAAAATATAGAATTCCAGGTCAGCATTTCCCACTGAATATTCGGTAGGGTACTAGTTTCTCAAAAAGTGGTATGACAAAAAAACTCCAAAGAAAATAAGTGTGACAAATAATTCTTGTGGACTCACAATGCACATAATAAAGGTTTGAGAGATTCTATAGTAAAGATAACTGTTTAAATTTTCTTCAACCATGTTCAAACATTTTTATCATGGTACCCTTCTTATGTAATACCTACTAACATCTGGCCTTGCTTGCATTCCACAGACACTATTTGATAAATGCTACCTTATAGTTTGATAAATTTGATAAATGCTGCCTTATAGTTTACATTCCTAGACCAGTTTTACATCTCTGTGTATTTTAAATATCTTTCATGGCATGTTTAATGCATATTTTTAGATCACCTGAAATTCCTTCAGAACTAGATGTGACAAAAATAAATAAGTGGATAATAAACATATCAAGCTGTATAATCTTGAGGAAGTAAAATTATCATTTCAGGCCTAGATTTCTTGTTAAAGATATCAGCCTTGTTAAACACATACATGGAGCTACATGATATAAAGATTGCTTTCTGGCTATGCCATTGCAAGCTTCTACCTTTCCATTCTCAATATTAAAGTATATTAAATCTATTGGAACCATGCCCTCCTTGGCCTCTGGAATGGCTTTCCATCTGGTCAAAGTTCCAATGTTAAACTTCTTGACCAAGAGTACCACACTGACAGAGTGGGAAAGGTAGCCAAGGGCATGTGCAGTTAGAGTAAGAGTTAATTGGGAGGTCCAAGTTCCAGAGGTGCTGAGGATGAGGAGTCCAGAGTCCAGAGACGCCGACACTTGGGCACTTCAGAGCTGTGAAAGATGCCTGGCTATACAAAAGGATTAATAAGTCGCTTTGTCTTCCATCCTCAATTGTTTTCATTACATATAAATTTATTGAGGGTCTACTGTGAGCTAGCTGCCAGGACTCACACTAGATGTTGATGATCTGAGGGTTTAGTTTTCCTATAAAGGATGGTGAAAACATTTTTATTAGGATATGCACACTAAATTAAAGGTGCCAAAGATGAAGACAGCCTTCACCTTGGTGTTTAGTCTAGCTGACATAGTAGGTATGGGCCTGGTTTTATAAGAATATAGATAAAGAACAACTGCCTTTGGGAAAGCTGGAAGATACTTCACAGAGGAGATAACCAGATTGATCAGAACTTCAGTTTTTTTGAGACAGAATCTTGCTATGTATTTCAAGCTGCCTTTGAACTCATTATGAAGCCAAGGCTGACCTCAGACTCACAGCAATCCTCCTGCTTCAGCCTCCCAAGCGCTGAGATTACAGGCCTCTTTGCCAGGCTAACCTGGGCTTTAAAAGATGCACAGAAGTTTGTTGTAAAAATATATTGGAAGATTTTACTGGGAAAAGAATTTTGGCCAGAGAAACAGTATTTTAGTATGGTAAATTCATTATGGCTGAAGTGCAAGAAATTAGGAAAGTACAGAGCAGCAGTTTGCCTGGAAAATGAGTTCAGTGAAGCAGATCCCAACCAAAGCCAAAGTGTCACCAGATCGCGAGTGATCAGATCATGGAATCAATAGAGTCACAGAGTATTAAGGTGTTAGGGTATTTTTTTAAAAGTAAGTACTATGGTAGGGACAACACAGTATCAACTTCTGAAGTAGTTTCCCAAGCACCAGTTCCTTGAACCCACTCTTTAATTACTATCTACCCCTATGACTGCAGACTAGGCTGAGATTCAGATCTTGATTACTTGACATTTCATGCCTCTCTTCCACTAAAATGTAAAATTTCCACTAAAATTAGAACAAATACTGTGTTTGCTTTGTCACTATTGTGTTTTCTAGATTTTATAATACCTTATGCTTAGGAGGTGATCTATTAAGTAAGGATAGGAAGAGTTTCTTTCCTGATTATCATTTTGGACAGTCACAATGAGTATTTTCAGAGAACAAAGCATCTGTTTAATTTTACTTACTCCAGCATTTTCCAAATTATGTTCAACTGTGGTTCTTTCTACCATATAAATTATTGGCATTTTGTTGAACAACTGAGCTCCAAGAAACACTGTGTGATAGACAGATACTTTGTGAATGAGTTGCCTTAATGACTCCTCCTCCATCCGAAGTTTATGTCTAACTGCATAAACCAAAAGTCACAGAGTATTAACCAGGTTACCATGTTTCCATGGGCCTACCCTTCCCTAAAGCCCTGAGAGCTGTGTTTCTACAGTTGATAAGGACAGTGATGAGACCATTCTGTGATGCTGCCAAGGACTTTGTGCAAGCAGAGAAGAGGAAGCTGATCTGTGGAGAGGGAATGAAGCAGATGCAGAAGCAAAGCTTTGCAGAGGGCTCCCATACTCAGATGGCAGGAAAAGAGGTGCCAGACAAACTGAAAGATGTTCTATCTGAAGAAATTCAAATTTAGAATTCTTTTAACTAGTAGCTTGCAAAGTGCGATTCCCCAGCATTACTTGGGAACCTGTTAAAAATGTGACTTTCTAAGATCTACCCAAAAATATGTTAGAAACTCAGGGTTTGGGCTCACCAAATAGCATTTTTGTAAGCCCTTGTATAATTCTGACATACACATTAGGTAACTGAACTATCAACATCTGAGATAAAATTCAACCCACAGGTCAACAATGGTGACCTCTGCTGAAGACCAGAGACCTGGAACATTTCAGTCTTACTGATTTTCCATACCCCAGTCGCACTTCCTTATTATGATGCTTACTAACCCAAATCTTGTAGAAATTCTTACATGACTTCAATGAATTCGCTCTTTTCAGATGGTTTGGTCAGATTATATTTGAATCCAAAGAAAAATTACAGTATACAAGCAAAACAAAATAAAATATGGAGTCAGGTCCAATTCTGCCAAAAATGAACTATGATGAACTGGGGAGGAGGGGGAGAATCTTAAAATTTATATAGAACCAGAGGAGACTGAGAATTGCCCAAGCAATCTTGAGTTAAAAAAGGGAAGCAAGTGGCATCACGATCCTGGATTTCAAGTTAAATTATAAGCAATAAAAACAGACAAGTGGGTCAATGGAACAGAATCGAGGATACCAAAACAACCCCAGAAACACTGAGTCATCTTATCTTTGAAAAAGGGCCCCAAAATATATGCAGAGAATAAAACAGCCTTTTATAGCTTGTATCTAGGTGTCCCTCTAAAGCTTCATGAACTCATAGGTGGAGCATTTTTTGTGACAAATGCCCACTACTATACCCAGCAATAAACTTTCAGTGAGACTTATTTGATGTTACAATAATTTTTCAATTTAAAATTAAATATTAACACATTATGCTTAAACTAACTTCAGTTCAGGCTGCTATCTACATGGACAATATGACTACAGTGATCGGACCAAATCATACTAGGAAAAAAAGACATTTCTTTCATTCAGTTATAAATGCAACTTATCCAAATAATCAACATTAAATGAAATGATAAAGTATTTTAAAAATTCAAAACAATAAAAGTTTTCAGGGAAAAGAGCCTAATATCCTAAAGTAAGTAGTAAGAATATCCTCTATTAAGTCTAAATACTTTGCATTACATATCTTCTTAGTTGACAAAGAACAAAAACTAGTATTGTTTTAACCTTTAAATTCCCGTCCCACAGACTGTTCTCTGATGCTGAAATAAAAAAATAGGGACCAAATGCTTCAATGAACAACTAACTCATTACAGTGAGAACTGAAGACTTCTGAAACAAGACAAAAATGTTCCTGTACCTCTCAGATGCCAGGAAAAGTAAAGGAAACATTTCAATCTCCCACTTGTATCTGTACTTTTTAAAAGTACATTTTTTGAAACAATCCAGCACAAGGTGTAGTTTTTAAAAGCAGAAAAAATTCCCAAGGCAGAGTAAAGAAAATAAATTGAGAGAAAATAGAAAAAAGGAAAAGAAATCTTTCAACAAAGTACAAACTGTTAGTCGCTCTCTGTATCCCTGAAAGGTTTTGATCGAACCCTATTTGTTATCCTAGAAAAGCTCTTCTGAAGAAAGGTCTCAGTGTAAGCACTGCCTGAAAGAAGCCAACCCCTTGGAAATAGGAATGGCTCAGTCATTTATTAATGTCAAATATGCTGTCTGCATGAATTAGTCAGCTTGTCTTTTGGAAACCATACAGAAAAGTCCTCTTGCACCTGCTTCTTAGCATCCTGACACTTCTGGCTTTACTGACAGCAGTAACAACCACCAGAAAATGAAATTTAAATAAATAAGCTGAACAGAACTATGTTCTACTTACTGAATAGTCAAATTTTTAAAGGCTTTTTCTTGAAGTACCCTCAGTGACCACAACAGAAAACTTGTTCTGATTTTAAGAGAAAGGCAAAACAGAGTCATTTTCCTAAACTGGCAAGAATTTAACCAAATTACCACAAAACTGACCTTCAAAACAAAGAGAAATAGAGCAGGAAAAGGCTGGTTTTCTTACTGGCTGTACCACAGTGGCAGATAGCCCAGAACTAAGAAAAGTTGCCAAATGACAAAGAGAAGTGAAGAATTTTCCAAAAGCAGTCAAGCCTAAGACACCCTGCATTCCCCACAGTTGGAGTAAGCTTCAGAAGCAACACACAGGTACAGGGTTCAGCCTTACTCTTTATTTACTGCACGGTGCAAAGTCATTAAATCGAGTATAAAAGAAATGGGCCCCATTTCCTGGACTGGCACCAGACATCCTTCCTACCAGCTGCAATTACATCATTTTTTATCCGTCTTCTGTTTTTCCTTTGTGGAGGGTAGGGGTCTTACAAACAGGCCAAACAGAATTTAGCCTCAAAACCAAGGGGAAATCCCTGCTTGTAGAGGAAACAAAGGAAGTGAGTGTCCTGTGAAAGGCAGTCAGGAACTCTGCGCCAGTTGCAAGGGCATTGATGGTACTAAAGGTGTCATGATTACATTTTCCTGGAGGTAGTACAAAGACAGTGAGGACCCAGGCATTGGCTGTGGTGGATCTATCACCCTTTCTTCCACCCCAACCTCAGCTCCACCAAATCTAATGACAAACAAGCAAAAGTAATTACACATAGAAAATCAAAGTGAATGAGAAATGTGGGTAGAAGAAACACAAAGAAATTGAAAATGATCCAAGTTGTTCATTGCTGCCTTCTGGCACCGTAATGGAAGTCTGTGATCCACTTTTTCATGTATTCAACTTCCAAGGAACGTGCTAACAGCACAGATGCAGGATCGTAGGCACTGTAGGCTCGAAGATCTAAATGATGGGCCCCCTCTGCGATGTTGATTGCAACCAGTGTATCTGAGATGTCTTTGGTTACTCCACCTCCTGACCAGGGGTCTAGGTCACCATTGCTGCAAACAAGGGAAAGGAAAAAAATTAAGGTTATTCATTTTTCCATAATTCATATTTAAATTCAATTAAAATAGGAGTAATTCAGCATATGCCTAACCCTTAAAATTGTAAACTTATAGCCTGAGAGATTTGATCTGAGGATCTAATTTGTCATTAAAAAAGGGGGGGCTTCACATCTATCATTTGATAGAGATAACAAAATCTATCTCACAAGGTTGTAAGGATTAAACCCAGTGGTGCACATGGAAGAATTTAGTGAGATTCAGGCACATAGGAATTCTTCCATACTGACTTCCTGCTCTGCTAGAACCCAACTACTAAAGTGACAAAGAAAAAAATCTACATTTAAAGTTCAAATTATCCCTTTGCCAAGATAAAGAGAGAGAAAGAGAGAGAGAGAGAGAGAGAGAGAGAGAGAGACAGAGAGAGAGAGAGAGGGAGAGAGAGTCACACTTTTTTTGTTCAATAGATACAATACTTTGGAAAATGGGACAGTGGAATTGTCAAAAGTCCCCAGCATCTGGAATCAGAAAATGTGGGCATTACTCAAAGATCTTCACTTTACATTAGCTTTAAAATTCAGAAATCACAATACTATTAGATTAGTTAGCTTTCACTAGTTCATTCAACACATTTCAGAGTGATACAAACAACATCACTCATTGCAACAGGTTGTTTGGTTTCGCTGCATTAAGAAAAAATGAAAAATGCACATACTATCCCTAGTAATATTTTTAACAGCTTTGAGATATGATTCATATACCACAGAATTCAATCCTTTAACATGCATAGTTCAGGGCTTCTTAGTATGGTCAGAGTTGTGCAACCATCACCACAATCAATCTTAGGACATTTTTGTTTGTTTGGTTTTGTCTTTTTGAAATAGGGTTTCCCTTTGCAGTTCAGGCAGGCCTTGAGCTCACTTTGTAGCCCAAGCTCAAATTTACAATAATCCCCCTGCCTCAGCCTCCTAAATACTGGGATTACAAATGTGCGCCACCGGGCCCAGCTACTTAGGACATTTTCATTATCCTCCCCCAACAGACTCACTAACAGTCCCTCTACACTCCCCTCACCCACACACAAAGCTTGTCACTGTCAGCCCCAAGCAACCACTAATGTACTTTCTGTCTCTATAGATTTACCTTCTGGATATTTCATATAAATAACTTTGTAAAACCAGTAGTCACTTGTGACTACGTTCCACCTGGCACAATGTTTTCACATTTCGTACATTCATGTTGTGGCATGAATTAGTCAATCATTACTCCTTATTGAAAAATAATAATTCTATTGTATGGATAGACCATAATTTATTTATTTACTCATCAGTTGAGGCACATTTGTATTGCTACTACTTTTTGACTATTAGGAATACTGCTCCCATGAACACTCTCACATACAAGTGTTTATGTGGATGTGAATTTTCATATTTTGGGAATATTTACCACTGGAAATCACCAACAAAATATTTATTTAATGCACATTCTACTTGGGGGTTTTATTTACAAAGTCTGAAACCAAAAAGATTTCAAAACCAATTATCTGATATGTTAAATTATTTCCAGAGTGTATGCAATCATCAAAAAATTTAGCTGTTAAGTATACAGAGATGACCACTACTATAGTTTGGATCTTAAATGTCCCCCAGAGGCCCATGTGTTGTTAAAAGGCTTGGTCCCCAGCTTGGCACTAATGGGAGGGGAAACAAATGCTAAGAATGGGATCCAGAGGGAGGCTTTATGTCCCTGGGAGCCTGCCTTTGAATGTGTGATCTGGTCTCTTTCTCTTTCTCTAGCTCACATCCCAACTATCACCCAGTAGGCAGCTTGCTCCACTGTGGACTCCTGCACAGGCCCTAAACCAACCGTGAACCAAAATCCAAAATCATGAGCCACCTTTCCTATTTTAAGTTGGTTGTCTCAAGTATTTCGTTGTAGTAACAAAACCAACAAAGGCTAAGACCTTTCTAGAATATCTTAGAATCAAAGTTCAACTTGTTACTTAACATTTTTACATGGAAATCCAATCAGATATCTCAAACATACAGGTTCCAAAGAGCTCCTGCCATGATCCAAGTCTAAGTAGACCCTCTATCACCACCATAAACTTCCCAACAAGTCAATGGCAACTCTGTCCTTTTAGTTGCTCAGGTTAAGAACTGCTATCATGTCTAACACCTCATTTGTTGACAATTTCTGTCAGCTGTACATTCAAATATATCCACAGTCTGACCATATCTCATAAACTCTCTATCCAAGTCATCATTACCTCTAGTCTGAACTACTGCCCTAGCCTTTCAAGTATTCCTCCTCCTTCCAGTCTTTTTTTTTTTTTTTTGTCTTTTTTATCGGTACCGGGGATCGAACCCACGACGGCCTGCTTGCAAGGCAGGCGCTTATGCCTGCTGAACTAAATCCCCAGCCCCCTCCTTCCAGTCTTATGCCTACAATCAATAGAGCAATCACCTCTATTGTGTAAATCTGAAGCAGGTTATATCACTCCTTGGTTTAAAACACTCCAACTTTTTCCACTTCATTCAATACACAGTGTTTTAACTCTTGTTATTCTCTTATTACTTTGTTATGAAATTTTGTTATATTTTTTCATAAAATAAAAAAAGAAATCAAAGCCCTTACCAGAACTTACATGTCTCTCCATGAGCTGGCCCCTCAGATGCCTCTCTGCTATCTCCTGCTAATCCTCCTCCTTCTGACCTCACAGGAACCACACTGACCTCATGACTCTGCTAGAAACAGCGTGTGGGGACATTTACCTCCCAAGACCCACGCCCATCCTTACCCCTCTGGAATGCCATCCTCCCACTAACCCCATGGCTGAGTCCTTCACTTCCTCCACAATCAATCTGCAAAACTCATCCATAGTGAAGCCTTCTTGATCACTCTAATCTAAAATGTCAATACTTTTCCCTCCACCTGACAGTTTATTGACCTTTCCCTGATTTATTTTTTTCTCCGGGCACTTCTGTCCTTGTAGCATGTTCATAGATAACACTATTTTTTTTTTTTGTCTTTTTCTTTTTTATCGGTACCGGGGATCAAGCACTCCACAAGGACACAGGTTATTGGCATCTTTGTTAACTACCATATCTCCAGTTCCTAGAACCAGGCCAGACACAGTAGAAGACAAATAGTTACTGAATGAATGAAAAAAGAATTTAAATGTCTAATTCTCTATGGCCTTGTACTGGATGTCCTACATAGAGATCTACAGATGTATGTATATAGGTTCATGAACATGTAATCTCTTTAGTGCTTTTTAACATAGAAAAGCATAGTTTTTATGATTAATATAAATACACATATTGACTTTCTGTTATGTGTAATAGTGGACAGAGTAATGAACTAAATCTGAAGATCTAAGATGTTTTGGTTTCTGGTTTTGTGTGTGTGTATGTGTGTGTGTGTGTGTGTGTGTGTGTGTGTATATGTTTTGAGATAAGGCCTCACTAAGCACATCAGGCTGGTCTTACACTCACTAGGTAGCATAAATTGGTGATGATCCTCCTGCCTCAGCCTCCAGAATGTTGGGATTATAGGAATACACTATGACTCCCAGATCACAGATCTAAATTGTATATCCTTATTAGCTGCATGACTTTGGTCAAGCTGACCAACCTTTGTGAACTTCATTTTCATACATGTACTATAGAAAAGAAAAACAATGCCACTTTGTCACAGAGACAAGTTAAATGGAAAAAGGTAGAAATACATGAAATACTATACAAGTATGCTACATAATTATATTATAATCATATCCTGTAAGTGTAAGAAGTGCTAATACCTCTAATACATAAATAAATTATGAAAATGATTGCAAAAGAGTTTAAAAACTTAGGATAGTTACATGGTCAACTTTTTCTATGCAAATGTACAAATGAAATGAAAAAGAAACATTTAGGTATATTAAGTACATGTTTGAAATACAATTTTAAATTCCTTGTTCTATTATCATGTGTTTTTTAAAAAATAACTTACTTAATCATAACTTACTGATACCATTATTTTAAAAAATTTGCTTCAAAAATGCACTGTTTTTGGTTTTATTAAAAAGCAAAGGGAAACTTCCTATGGAAAATAAGAGTCATAGTTTTCAACTACCAGATAAATGTGTAAAGTAAACTAAACAAAGATTGGATTCTCTTAAATGAACAAATAGCCTTTATCATTATTCCAATCTGACAGGCCCAACCCAGATAGGAAAGTCTCCATTATTTGCAAAACAAAAAAATCTATCCGAACAGCCACATAATAAGCAAACTGCATTTGATTTAAAAGGTCATCTGAAACAACCTAGTGGCTTAGCAACAGTGTTTGGGGTTGCTGAGAGACCTAAGATGCACATGGACTTGAATTTCTTGATCTTAGACATGTGAAAGCTAAAACAATCATTGGGAAATCTACAAAAAAAAAAAAAAAATACTGGCTTTCATGAGAGAATCTAGACGCCTGAGTAAAATTCCCAATGACCAGCCTCACTTAATCACTGGCAACAATCAATTTCCCTGAGAAATGATGTCAGCTAGCCTACTCCTCAGAGATTTCTCCTGAATTTATATTTAAATATCAGGAATGGCCATTGCTAAAATGATCTAAGAGTTGGGGAGGAGGGTTTCATCCAAACCAAAAACCACTGCATAATTTTTTAAAATTGCTTAAATGAGACGATTACACTTACTATCTATTAAGACTTCATTCACCCAACAACTGAAGTGTCCGCTATATGTCAGGCACTCATGGGGCACAGGGGATTCAGCAGAAAATGAAACAGACAAAATCTCGGCCCTCATGGCATTTACTTCCATGACAACCTATTTAATCCTTAAGTAACGGTGTTGAGTAGTCATGATGATTTCCAAATTATATAAATTGCCATGATGATTTCCAAATTATATAAATTGTCAATTTACCCAAAGCTGCACAGCTAATTCAAGAAAGACTGAGAAAGACACCAAGACCTGTTTGACCTTAGAGTCTTAATTCTCAAACCTTAAGCAGCACATTGAACTTTCCAACCCAGACAGCAGACATACTTGAATTTGTGTGAGACAGACTACAGAGAAAAGCCTCAACACTCTCTACGTGGTCTCCTAGACATTCTTAGTCAACACATGCAGGACGGAGGGAGACACCTGAGGCTGCTCTTTCACTTGGGGGAGTGCATTTTCTTCAGAAAAAAAGCTAAAAGAAATCTGAATTTTCTAATAACTTAAAATGTTTTACACTGGAACTTTCATATTCAGCAACCTGAAGTAAAAGATTTCATTGTAAAAGTAGGCTTGCCACTACAGAACAATAAATTAGCATCTTCACACAGTACTGAGTTAAACTTCTGCAAACCTTCTGTACTGTGTACTTCATCCCCTGACCTATACAGAGAGAGAGAGACAGAGAGAGAAAGACAGAGAGAGAGAAAGAGACAGAAAGAGAGAGAGAGAGAGAGAGAGAGAGAGAGAGAGAGAGAGAGAGAGAATGGACCTGCCCCATGTCAGTCAGGCAGCAGCAGGCAAGAAAGGCACAAAGATAATTAAGATGAAGGCCCTGCCTCTGAGATGCTTGCAATGGCCCCATGGCAAAGAGTATGCAAACAGATTTTCCATGCCGAGTAATAAGGTGTATTTCCAGGTTCTAGAGAAGCCAGGGTGCTGGTAGATGTCTGTGCTTCCTGGAGGAATCAAGAAAGACTTCTTAGAGAAGACCTGAATTTTAAAAATCATATTGTCTCACTAGTGTGAGAAACTGAACAAGTAAATAGGACCCAAAATGTATAATAGATATTGTGAATTGGGAAGAAACTGTTCAAAAGAAAAGACAAGTTGTGATAGGGGAAAGGAAGAAAGGAAAAAAAAAAAAAGAAACTATACATAAATATATATAATATGTATATGTATATATACATATAATTATACAGCTAGCTTCTATTTGTTCCTTGAAAATGATGTTTTGTGCTAATATTATTTAGACAGACTATCATGCCTATACCCTGTACTCTGAATAACTACTATAAAGACAGTAATATGCAATGTATCAACTATTGTAACTGTCTCACTAATCTGTTTTTAAACTCAGTTTTACTGCTTATCTTTTTTTCTGTTTAAAAGAAAAAGAAAAAAGACAGGGGAAAATGGAGACATTCAGGAAAATATATAATTTCTTGTGGGTAAAATTTTAAAGTGCAAGGTGGAAAATATACTTCTATTTATTCAATAAATATTTTTACCATATATTTTTGCCAGATCTAGCCCAACTACTCTGTGAGGGGAATGATATTATTATTCCCATTTCACAGAAAATGAAACTGAGGATCAAAGAACTTAAATAACTGCATTTACAAAAGCTCATTCTGAGAATTTTTTCTCACAGTAGGTCATCATCTCTATCTACTGGCCTCTGTTCTATTCCTGAAATTTTTCTCACAAAATCTGCCCCCTCCTCCAGTGACAATGATACATGATAATATTAGTTTTGAAAGTCTGAGGAAAATACTACAAAAGGGCAAATGGTAACTAAAATACTTACCTGTAATGGTTTAACCTAATGAGAAAGGACAATGTACCAGACCAAAATTCATTCAGTAAAACCTCATACAAAGATTAAAGACACCAGTTAATGTGACTTGAATTTAAGCAACAATTTAGGGTCAAAGCAAGGGTAAATGAGCTTGAATACTAGAAAAAACCATTAAAATACTCCATGGAAATAAGCTCCTAGATAAAAGTAACAAATTCTCATGGTACTTCCATTTCTGCCAGAACAAAGATGAGTTTGGAAACTGCTATCAGCTAGATGTCTCCCAAAATCCATGAGTTGAAATTTAGTTCCCATGATAGTAGTAAGAAGAGGTGGGGGCCTTAAGGCAAGTGATTAACATCAGAGAGTTCCATCCTTATGAATAGTGCCTTACAAAAGGGCTGAAGGTGGTGGTGGGGAGAGAGAACAACTATAAAACAAAACACAAAACAAGGGGCTGGGGATTTAGCTCAGCGGCATAAGCACCTACCTTGCAAGCAGGTGGGCGTGAGTTCAATCCCCGGTACGGGGGTGGGGGGGACTAAAAAACAAAAGGGTTGAAGGAGCAGAGCATGATGGCACATGCCTGTAATCCTAGCATTCTGGGAGGCTGAGGCAGGAGGTTTGGAATTTCAAGTTTAGCCTGGGCAGTTCAATAATCTAGTGAGGCACTTTCTTAAAATAAAAAATGAATACATTTTTAAAAGGGCTGGTGATTTAGCTCAGTGTGAAAGTCTTATTTTCAATCCCCAGTACCACCCCCACACACAGAAAATGACATTTACAATGTTAACAAAAGCTCTAGTTAAGAGATATACTGGTATCTCTCACCTATTTCCACATAGATTTGGAGAAATATTTTATAAACTGGTTGTTGTCTTAATAGTTGACAGTTTAGCCAAACATGAACATTTTGAAGTCACAGTCAGATATCCAGAGTCAACTCAGTTAACTCTAACACGAACCAGTACTGAAAGTGTCATGTCTTAAGGAATAAAGTAGAACACGTACAGGATTGAGTCAGACAAGTCAAGGTAGAAATCTGGCTTTATCGCATACTTTGTTGAATTTGATAAGCAACTGAACATGATGACTTTCAATTCCTCCTTCAGTAAAAAAAGAGACTGTAATAGTTACACCACAGGATGGTCAGGAAGATTCAACTAGGTCCTTTATTTAAAGTGCCTCACATAGTACTTGGAATAGAACAGAGTGGACACTTCAAAAGTATCTATTAAATACTGATACATCATGAATATAACACAAAACTGAAACCCTTCTCAGCATCCAGTATTTCAAGGAGAAAAAAAGCTACTGTTTTATTGCCCAGCATTTTCCTATTCTAGTTTATCAATTATTCTACAAGTGTCTTCAGCAACCAAAGCCCCTGTTTGGACCTGCAAAGCTCACCTGAAAATGATGTTTGAGTGTGAACTAATGTTTTTTCCTCCATACAAAGTTGTGATCCAGGAGGGATTTGGTCTCACACCCCATTGATTAAAACACTCATCAGAAAACTGCTTCAAATTCCATGAGAAAGGTTCAAACATGTCTTCGACACCATTAGCACAAAAGGGCATGACCATTTCTGTGCAGCTCTAAAAAGAAAACAAGCAAAGATCCAAAGAGAAAATGAGGCACAATGGGATGAAATAAATTACCCAAGACCATTTAGCTAGTAACAAGCAAAGTCAAGTTTTGAACTCAGGCAATCAAGCTGCAAGGCCCCTGTCTCAACTTCTATGCCATACAACCCCACTGAAACACTGGCGGAGAAGTCACAGAAATTTTAACTATGTATTCTTTCTTTACAAATTTCCTTCTTTCACATCTGTTATCAAATTTAAACTTCAAGACAGTGCTGAAAGGAAGTATTATTATTATAGTTTTGGGGGGTGAATGAAAGAATGAAGACTCAGAGTTCAATTAGATTCCTTGTTTTATATTTATCCCGGAAGTGTTTCCTCTATAGGGTCCATTAAGATCCACCACAAGGGGCTGGGGATTTAGCTCAATGGCATAAGCGCCTGCATTGCAAGCAGGCAGTTGTGAGTTCAATCCCCGGTACCGATAAAAAGGAAAAAGACAAAAAAAAAAAAAAGATCTACCACAATATTAGGTTAGTTGCCTATTTTTCTTACCAGACTATATTTAAATATATGATTATGTATTAATACATGATCATGTATTAAATATCTTTGTGCCTTTTAAGCATGAAAGAATGCCTGAAATATGGTGAGCACTCACTATATATTTGGCAATGATTAAATACATGTATGACAGAATAAATGAGGAAAGTTAACCCTGGTCTCACAGAGTGATGTAAAAGAACCTAGTGTAGGTTATTTATTACTGCTTCTTCTTATAATATAATAAGTGAATCAGTGAGAAGTAAATTCTGCTTGGGAAATCGCATATGCTTACCTGATAGCTCCAGCCCGAGATTCCCAGACTGCTGCTTGCTGTTTCTGAAATATTCAGGCATTCTGCCTGGCCTGAATAATTATAATACACATTCAGAGCCTGGAAAATATTCTGCAGCAGCTGTGAATCCGATACATTAGGATCTGTCAAATACTGGCACACGACCTGTCATTTTAGATAAATGGAAAGAAGCAGAATATAAATTCAAAACTAGAGTTTAATAACACAGGAAAAAATCATTTTTATTTGATCACAAAATATTCTTAAACATCTTCACTGCATTGTGTGAAAAATGTCTGTCTCTTGAGTGTAATCTCCTTCATAAAGTAATAAATACTTTAAATTCTCCCCATCTACAGGAATGAGCCAGGGCATTCATATGATACGCAAAGTCCCCTCCACATACCACTGTGACTTAATCTTCACAACATTTGTTCCAGTCTAGTAAAAGCATTTTCCCCCAGGCCAAGCTCTTCCTGTTTGCCCCAGCTCATGCTTCCTATTCTCCTATTCCACTAATGCCTAGGAAATGCGACCTCATCTTTTACACCCCTGCCTTCTCTCTGAGGCCTTCCTTGCCACTATGCCAGAGTCTGGAAGCCCTAACGCACTCTCTTCTTGGTGTTTGCCCTGTGCCCCACACCTATTTCTACCAGAGCCCCTGCACTGCTCATCATATTCATCTGATTCTAGAACATCTCCCTCCACACTTAACAAGGTCTCTGTAACTAAACATTTGCTGGATGAATAACCACATTTTTTTAAAATACAAGATTTATAAAATGTCTTATGGAAAAACTACACTAAGCCCCCACATTCGTGGTATGATAAACATATCCTGCCTCTCTCTAGCTCTCAAATATTCCTATCAGTGGTCTATAGTCATTCCCTGAAATTCTAGCTCTGAAAATCACAGGCAACACCGAGCTTAGAGTGAAGGTAGACACTGAGTACGAGAAGCACTGGGAATTCCTTCCCCTGAGCTACAGAAACATCCTAGATCTTCAAGGGGTCTGGGTTACACAATTGCTGTACTTATGTGTGCACTTCATTGTATGTAGAATTTTTTTTCTTTGTGAAACAGGGTCTCACCATGTAGTCTAGGCTGGCTTTGAATTCACTATGTAGCCCAGGCCAATGCTGAACTTGAGGCAATCCTCCTGCCTCAGCCTCCTGAGAACTAGGATTACAGGCATGCGCCACTACACCTGTGTGTATGTAGATTTTAAACATCCTTTCCAAAAAAGAATTAATTATATTGATATTAAAGTTAATGATATTAAAGTTTAATCATTAGGGGGAAGATGTTTGCAACTTTGAAATGCATTAAAAGCAATATGGGTAAACAATGGATATATCAAAAATGGCAAAATATTTATAGAATTTAAATGGCAATAGATATGGATATAGCTCAATGGTAGAATACTTGTAACATTTAACACCAGAAAAGGCAGGGGCACTTAAGGTGGTATGTTTATGAGTACTCACTCACTATTTTAACTTTTCTGTATGTTTAAAATATTTCATATAATTTAATGCTATAATTAAATGTTAGAAAAAATCATAATGAAATCATAGCTGAGTAACAACAGCTATTGATTATTAAGACTTGAGTTTATAACTTATATTATTTAATCCTCAAAATTCTTACCAGATATAATTATTATCTACTATTTCACATTTTAAAACAGATCCTTGGGTTAATTAAATCACTTTACTCAAGATCACTCAGCTAGTGGATGGGCCTAGATTTGTGCCCAGTTGTCTCTGGTTATGACACATATCTCATCTGTTACGCTATAGAGCTTAGAAAGCACCCTTTTGTAAAACTGTGAACAGTCCCCATGGCAAGGAAAAGACATACAGCCCACATACTCTGTCAGAACTTTGCCATGGATTCAGTGATCTTGTCCTTTCTGATTTCACAAGGAAAAAATATATGCAATAGGAAGTTCTGACAAAAAAGAGAAAGAAAAAAGAAAGAAATGAGTCCGGGGAAAACACCAGGAAGAGTAGTGCCCAGCAACTACACCTCGTAGGCAGATTCAGGGTAGAACAAGTGCCAGGGACACCGTCCCAGGCAGTCAAGAGAACAAAGGTAAGAAGCAACGAGCAAACTCAGCCCCTCATCACAGCTTCCAGCAACACCCTCTAGAAAAAAGAAAAGAAAGAAACTTCACACAGTTGGGAAATTTGTTTTTGTTTTTTGTTTTTTGTTTTTATCGGTACCAGGGATCAAACTCACGACCGCCTGCTTGCAAGGCAGGCGCTTATGCTGCTGAGCTAAATCCCCAGCCCCAACAGTTGGGAAAATTTGTGCCACTGTCCAAATATCTTCTACATGACAATATTTCTATGGAATATTGATACTTTGTGAAAAGACTGCTTAGTCAAATAATTTCAAGAACTATTATATTAGCAAACGTGAAGTTTTGCTGAGTACAGGATTTCTCAGAGCCTTTAACATGCTCAGTTGCAATGTGCTTTCCAAAGGGAAGACGGAGTGTATGTCAATACCAGGCAGTTTTTAGAAAAGTTGAGTATGAGAAAAGTCAGATAATAAGATATCCAAACAATTATTTATATACCTTTCACAAAGTGTTCTGTGTGAGGTCATATGCATAATGGACACCTGTATTCAGGATATACGTGAAGAAAGAGAACTGAAATAAACCAAGAGCTTCGCAAACCTCTCATGCCTAAAGCAGTAAGGAAATGCCAGTTGAAGATAAATGAATTAAAAATGTTTCACTCTTTGACAGCTTGATTATTCATGGAAAGTCAAAAACTACCTGACATCTGCATAGCACTCAGAAAGTATTCGTAAAAACCTGGCAACCGGAAATAGCTCCAGACAATACGGAAATCAAGAACTAATCACAAGATATATTAAACTACACACTGCCAACAGCAGATCAGCCTTTTTTGCTCACCCTGAACACCAGCTTTTTCAGCATTCAGCACAAAACTACAGTGCAGGCATGTGAATTGCAGAGAGGAGCAGGATGTTCCAGCACAGCATGGTGGATGAGGCAGGGTGACAGTGCAAGCTGGGCAGGGGGAAAGGAGGCAACTGATGTGCAACGAGTGACCTAAAACTCTGGAAAAGAGCAGTAGCGAGTGAATGTGACTCACATGCTGGCATTAGATTCCCTGTTAGAGCCAGAACACTGGGCTTCTGTCAGGCAAAGAAAAGGAGTCTGCGTGAATAGCCATCCCTGTAAAGAGCGGTTACTGTCACTGCTCAAAAGACACAAGCATGGCTGGAGACTGGCACCAGCTGACAATACTTGGGTTTGGCAGTCTCAGAACATCATGGTCAGAAAGTTGGCCTCCGCTAATAGAAATTCCATGTCAGATTAAGAGCAATCCTGAGGCCCAGCATCCTCCACGAAGTCAGATCCCCCTTGAAGGGCTGGGCTTCAAAGCACCACACCTTAATAAGGACGCTCACCAAGATTTTAGAAAATTCAGAGGGAGCATGTAGGACCAGGAGTTGAGGAAGAGTTGAAGCAATCATAAAACTGGTTATTTGGGTCATTATTACAAGCTTTCATTATTACAAATAAAGCCACAAAAAATATCTCTAGGGTTAAATCTTTATACTTATAAACCTTACTGTTTTCTTGAAATACAGGAGTGTGAGTCACACCTGTAGTTCTAGAAAATTGATACCGATACATATTGCATCTCTCGATCACTTTTATTCCCTTGCCCTGGTCCTCCCTTCTCCCTCCTTCCCCAGATTTCCTTCCTATCTCTCCAGAGTCTACCTCCCTGTTTCTTCACATGGCTCTTTATTTGCTTTTTAAATTATTTATATTCTGAATTTCTTATGTTAGAAAAACCAAAAGATACCTAACCTTTTGTAAGTGATTTATGCCAGTTAGCAATATGGTCTCAAATTCCAACCATTTGGACTGAGGATATAGCTTAGCAGCACAAGACCTGCCTAGCAAGCATAAGGTCCTGAGTTTGATTCCCAGTAAAAAAAAAAAACAAAAGATAAAATCCAACCATTTTCCTACAAATGATTCAAATTTAGGTCTTTATGGCTGAGATACACCTACATATATGTGTACATTTTCTTTACCCATTCATCTGTTGATGGACATCCTGTCTATTTCCACGATTTAGCTACTGTGAGTTGTGCTGCTGTAAACATGGGTATGCATGTATTAGCATAGTAGGATGACTTTAGCTCTTGTAGGAAGATATCCAGTAGAGGTATCCCTGGGTCAAATAAAATTTCCAGTTTTAATTTTTTGAGAAACCTCCATGCTGATTTCCAAAGTGGTTGTACTAGTTTATTTACCAACCAACAATATAGAAGAGTTCCTTTTTCCTCACAACTTTGCCAGATTTATTGTTGTATATTCTTGGATAATGGCCATTCTTACTGGAGTAAGGTAGAATTTTCTTATTGCTTTGATTTGAATTTCTTTAAGATACTGAACATTTTTCATGTACTTGTTGATCATGTACATGTTTTCATGTACTTGTATTTCTTCTGTGAAATATCTTAATTTCAATTATTCATTTCAATTATTATTTCAATTATTCATTTTTAACAGTCTTTTATTGGAGGGAGCTAAAAAAAAATTTTTTTTTTTTGCTTCTTTAATAATACAGGCATTAGTCGTTGGTCTGACAAATAGCTGGTAAATTGTTTCCCCACTCTATGGACTATCTTTTCACTCTATTGGCTGTTTTCTTCGATGTGCAGATTTTTAATTTAATAGACTCTCAGTTGTTGATTCTTGGTGTCATTTGGAGTTTCTGTTCAGGAAGTCTTTGTCTATGCCTATGCCTTGAAGAGTTTTACAAATTTTCTCTTCCACTAGATTTAGTATTTCTTTTTTTCTTTTAATACAGGCTCTCACTACACAGTTTGGGCTGCCCTTGAACGCATTTTGCAGCCCAGACTGGTCTCAAACTCGCAACGATCCTCCTGCCTCAGCCTCCTGAGTGCTGGGATGACAGGGGTGCACCAACACACCCAGCAGCATTTCTTTTTTATATAGAGGTCTTTGATCTATTTTGGCTTGATTTATTTTTATTTTTTTATTTTAAAGAGGTTAAGACAAAAGAGGATAGAACAAAGCAGATCAGATCAGAACAATGCAAGCAACACAGCACTTTACCACACGACAACCCATAATTAA